AAGAGTTGGAATTGTACATCCTTAGGATAACAGAGCAATTATAGGCATATTGAAGAGCTAGAATAGAGGGCAAGCCCAATCCCCCAAAACATTTTGGTTTGGAAACAAACTTCAACGAAATCATATGTATTTTTCCCCCTAAAGTCAGATCTCCAAAAAATAGAAATTTGGAGCATATTTTCTTGAAAAATTTAATGACCCCTTTGGGTATAATGGCTCCCCTTATCCAATAAGAAATAGAGTTCATAATAGTATATTTCAAGAATTGCAAGCGACCCGCAAAGAAAAAAAAGATTAGCCTTCTAGCCAGCCAATTTATTAGACACTTTCTCCACGAGAGGCAAAAAATTAGCAATCTTAAGTCTATTGAAAGAGTAGGCTTCCATCCACTATCGAGTAGGCTTTCTACTCTACTTGCTGGATGGAAAATTAAATTCTTGTCTTTTGCAGGTAGAATCCAGTTCATTAAATTCACTATAGCAAACACCATTGCTTATTGGATCAGAGGTGCTGTTATACCGAAAGGCGTTTATAAGTATATTGATAAGCTTTGTTCCAAATTCTTGTTTCATGGTTCTGTGGATGGCAAAAAATTACACCTCGTTGCTTGGAAAAACACGTGTTTACCTAAATGCTTCGGTGGACTTGGGTTACATGCTTTTGAAGCCCTTCGGTTTGGTTTCAACTGCTCTTTTATTTGGCGCTTCTATACCTCCCCCTCTCTTCTGGCTGCTTGGTTTAAGGCTAAATTTTTTAGCCCTTGGAAGACAGCCCCTGCCATGGCTTCCAAATTTTGGAAGTCCATCTGTCTTACTGCTGCTAAAATTCAAGGAAATATTCAGTTCCATATTGCTTCCCATGATTGCAAGTTCTCTTTCTTTTGGGACCCTTGGTGTAATGCTTCTGCTATTGCAACTTTTAGGCCCCCTTCTACTTCCCCTCATTTGGAAGTCATGGAATGTATTCACGATGGCTCTTGGCTCATCCCTAGTTACTTAGATCAAACCATTTACGGATTTATTCTGAA